TCACTTGGTAGCCCAGGCTGGCCTCGAACTCACAAAGATCCGCCTGGCTCTGCCTCCCGAGTGCTGGGATTAAAGGCGTGCGCCACCACCGCCCGGCGCAAATAATATTTTTAAGTCTCTTAAGCCTATGAATTTTTAGCACAAATTTGATTTTCTTTTATTACAGGTACTACACTCAGCCAGAGGGGCCCAAAAGCCAATGCTTATCTCTATAAGGCAACAAAACTCTCCAAATGACCAGGACTTCCAGTCTGAAGTTTTCTCCCCTTTTAATGATGTTGTCACAGGTTCAGTAAGGCTGCAGAGAGTGGTAGGCTTCTGCAGAGTTGAGGGCATTGATCTCTTCCCTCAGTACAGGGAGACGAACTCGGAGCCTCACGCACCCTAGGCAAACGCTCTACCTCGGTACTCGATCTCCAGCACAAAGTCGAGGCTGTTACTAAGGACCGTCATAAACTTAGGCAGCAGAGAGATGGGCGGGGGGCTTCCTTGGTTGTATCGTTGAGAAACAGACATTGAAGATCTCGTGGCAGAGCAGACACGTTTCCACACTTGATCCCAACTGAAGGGCACACTGGCAGGGCGCATCAGAGCGAATCAAGTCCATCAGGGGATGAGCCATCTTCTTGAAAGTAACTCTATTTAAAAAAGGAAGGCTTCTTAAGATGCGATTATCCTCTTAATCTTTATCCTTATAAGGATGAGATAATCATATCCTTAAGATATGACTCAGCTTAGAGCAGGTCCTTACAACTCTTCTATTGCCAGGACTCGAGAGGCAGAGGCAGGAGAATCTCTGTGAATTTGAGGCCAACCTGATCTACATAGCAAGTTTCAGGCCAGCTGAGATTACACAGTGAGATAGTGTCTCAAAACCAAACAACCAAGCAACAAAAAGCTCTCTCCTACTGACTCTCATTTTCTTTAACTAAAGAGGTTAACAACAACAACAAAAAAGAGTTGCCTCAATATTTTCCTGTAGTTTGTTACTGAAAATTACATTTCTGTGTTCTGTTTACCTGTTTATATATTACATTATCCATTTTCAACTGCATTACATATAAAACCACTGTCAGAGTACTTCATGAATGTGTATAAAGGAAACCCTACGGGCATTCTCCCACAATCACAGGGGAAACTCTAAATATGTGAAAAGTCATCCTGGTGTTTCAGGTCTGTAATACCAGCACCTGGCAGGCTGAGGTGTGAGGGTCAAAATGGGCTGCAGGGCAGAACCCTGGGAGAGGGGAGGGGCGGCAAGGAGAGAGCACAAACAACACTGTAGAACAGTTTTTGCCCCAGGGCATTAGCAAAAACACTAAAGTAGGCTGGGAGTGGAGGAAACTCTACCTTTGAACAGCTGACTACACATTCGTCTCAAGTGCATGGAATAATCTCCCAGACAGACGTCATGCTGCCTATAACACAAGCTGCAGTAAAACTGAAAGGATTGAAATAACTGAAAGCATGTCCTTTGACCACAGGAGGAAATTCGGCATAGTCACAAAAGTGAAGGGCAAACAATGTTCTCCTAAAAAGAAGAAATCACAAGAAAAAGAGGAAATACTATGCGATGGATGAAAACGAAAATATACTAAAATGTATGGGTACAGTTAAAGAATTTCCTTTGCTGTGAGCATTTATATTAGAAAAATCAAGAATAATCTCAACCGGGTGCACGCCTTTAATCCCAGCACTCGGGAGGCAGAGGCAGGCAGATCTCTGTGAGTTTGAGGCTAGCCTAGTCTAAAAAGCAGTTCCAGGAAAGGCGCAAAGCTACACAGAGAAACCCTGTCTGGAAAAACCAAAAATAAATAAATAAATAAAATCTCAAGTCATGAACTTAAACTTCTATGTTAAAGAGAGGAGGACAGATCCTAGATGGTGGCAGCGGCTGGCACCCACCCTGGGCCTGAGGAGCAGCCCTGGGGTGAGACCCACAGAGGGTCCAGGAGGAGCTGCTGCCTCGGGGGAGGAGTCTGCAGAGACCGAAGCGTCTCTGAGACAACTAAAGCAGGCAGGTCTTATGGGAAGATGCTTTTAAAAAGTGGACTCATGAAATTGGAGGGAATTGACAGAGCAGAGCTGGGTGCTTGGAACTAGAGAGCGGCAAAGGGTATGACACCAGCCTGCGTGGCCGCGGGCTGCGAGCACAGTGGTGGTGCCCCGTGAGCCTCAGGGCCGCCAGTACCAAGGACAGGAGGGATGCAAGAGCCTGGAGCTCCTAAGGATCCTGCCCCGCCGCCCTGCCTAGACAAGATCACCCTGACTCTGAGTAACAGCAGCGTATCCAAGATGAGTCTCTGTGATGGTCCAGTATTGATGGTATTCAGAAACCAGAAACCTTGAACCAGGCCAATGACTCATTGCAATGAGTATTTGCATGTAAAGCTGTTTGGGCAAAAAAATATACTATGTGACACACTGCAGTTTCCAGTGCCACTTCCACAAACAAATATGTGATGGAAAGGTGGGAAAGCTGGGGGAACGGAGTGACCCATCTATGGTGGAGAGAGGAGGAACTAGAGATGCAACGGCAGTGACAGTGTTGTACCCGTTTCGCAAAACCCCCAGAGACCACCAAGAAGCAGGTTTCGATGCAAGCACGTAAGGGTCCTTTTATTCAGGCTCAACCTGGGCCGCCGCATGGCAGATGGAAGGAAATGTGGCGGCGGCCCAGGTGTAGAGAGTTTTAATAGGGAAAAACCACAAGCCCGGAATTGGCAACTTGGGATTGGGTAGAAGGGGCAAGGTGATTTTTTTTTTTTTTTTTGGTTTTTTGAGACAGGGTTTCTCTGTGTAGCTTTGCGCCTTTCCTGGAGCTCACTTGGTAGCCCAGGCTGGCCTCGAACTCACAGAGATCCGCCTGCCTCTGCCTCCCGAGTGCTGGGATTAAAGGCGTGCGCCACCAACGCCCGGCGCAAGGTGATTTTTTGAAACTATTGGTCTAGACTTTTGGCGGGAAACCACAACCCGCTAAACAGGATTATCTGGATTGCTCTGCAGGATTATCTAGATATCTCCAAGGGCCATAAACCACAGAGAGGATCCTGTTAAGCTTTCCTTTCCTGTATAAACAGCAGACAGGATGTCTGCAGGAGTATCTGGATCCTGTTAGGCTTTCCTTTCCTTTAAACAGCAGACAGGATGTCTGCAGGAGGATACTGCTCTGTATCCGTTCAAGTAATCGTGGCGTATCCTGAGCCTGTAAAGTTAATTCTAGGCCTTCACAACAGGTGTGGGAGAAGGCTGAGGCGGACCAGGGAGCATGTTGTTGCCAAGTAGGGCCCGCAGGGTGTGTAGCAGCCTGGGGTCACGTGGGCTCTTCCCGGGAAAACCCTGTCCAGCAGCACCGTTGCCCTGGCTCTGAGCAATGACAGGATGTCCAAGATGGAGAATGGTTTATTTTCTGGATTGGGCCTCCTCAAAAGACCTCCATGGTCCATGCTGCCCCTGGAAGACATATTGGTGTCTGTGGTTCGAGCTACAGCCAGGGAACGTGTTAGTGTCTGTGGTCCACGTGGCCTCCTTATGTGTCCTAGGCGGGCCTGGAACTCACTGTTGTTGAGTGTGGCCTGGGTTTTGTGGCCTCCCCTCGCAGGTGCTAGGATGTGACACCATATCCAGCTTCATTTATTGTTTTAAATGTTACCACAGACATGAGGTTGTGGGGCGCCCGAGTCAGCCTTTCCTGCCCTCCTCCACTGCACTGCGCTCTCTGTGCTGCCGGGCTAGCGTCCTGTCACCAGCCCCCACCATGATCACCTCCTGGGACCCCCTGTCACCAGCCCTCATCATGATCACCTCCTGGGACCCCCTGTCACCAGCCCCCATCATGATCACCTCCTGGGACCCCCTGTCACCAGCCCCCATCATGATCACCTCCT